CTGTCTGTACTCACCGAATATATCCAAGATGCACAGTACATAAAAGGATCTGACAACATTGTCGCAGATTGCTTTTCACGGCCAGCCAACGCAGTTCTGCTCGACGCTCTTGATCTGCCCGCACTGGCACGCCAACAGTCGACAGACGAAGAAATAAAACAACTCATCGATCGCCTAAAATCATTACCGTTGGATGAAGACCTTCTACTTTATTGTGACAATTCAACTAAGTGCCCGCGTCCCTATGTTCCTTCAGCAGCACGACGTTCTATCTTCGAAAGCCTACATAATATCAGCCACCCCAGCATTAAAGCAACAGTGAAGCTGGTTAAAGAGCGATATTTCTGGCCTGAAATGGATAAAAACGTTAGGGAATGGTCACGCAACTGCCTTGCGTGCCAGCAATCAAAGATCCATCGCCACACCAAAGGTCAAATTCTGGATTTCAATTTATCATCGGACAGATTTGAGACAGTGCACCTAGATATTGTAGGTCCGCTGCCGATGGTCAAAGTTGCCGGAGATCCGTATTACTCCAGGGACCACTGCAGCTGACCCACCACAGCGAACAACCCGCTCGGGTCGTCGAGTCAATTTCCGCCCTAAAGCCGATTTTATATATTATTGATCATTATGTCACCGACATCTGGCGTGGTACTACTGTTGTGTTAAGACATTTTATGATTTTTTTTTAAATAAAATTCTAATTTACCTTTACCTTGGCAACACCGTTAGGAAGTTAACGTCGCGCACAGAATTTTCTCGTTAGTCATAATCGTTCGGCTGATCCCCGCTGCAGGTTAGTTTGAGCTCTAATAGGTTCCTTTGTATTGTCTGAATAATTGTTATATTGTATTATTATTTCTTTATTCATCTTCAAAGACGATCATTTATTAGATTCAATCTTCAACAGATACGCACGTTGCCAAGGGTATTATTCTTTACACTATTTGCCATCTTGATACTTATATTCAAAGCCCACCTTGTTGTTAATTTGCCTTGCAGTAAAATCTCAGTTCCAGTCTCTTTCATTTCCATTCTTGTTTTACTGTGTGGGTAATGACTGGCACTTACCTCACATGTCCACTAATTTAGATACTTTTAATATGTTGTTATTAAGTAAACATTATTTTGTACACGACAGTCAACAATTCAACTCTTCATAGTTTTCGCCGACAAATATGACGAAATGATTAGTGATTTCCGTGATTAGTGCATACATTTTATTTTAGAGTATAGTGAAATACCATATTATAGTGAAATTTTTGATCGCAATGGTTTACTGTAAGGAATTTCTTCCATTAGAGCATTTTCAAATTAAAATAATTAATTGAATTCTAATCCAGTTCTGTCTGATGCCAATTTAAAAAAAAATAAAGACCATTCGTTTACTTTGAAGGGTCACTCCCATTACATACAAGTTTATCCTACATTTAAACGAACTCAGAGAGCTGCGTTTTGTCTTATCCAATATCTGTGAAATATACCTAAAATCACTGTTTTATCCAAATAAAGATATAAATAAAGTTTTTAAATTTAAAAATTTGAAGAATGTAAGAGCGAGAAAGCACAAACCTTGCACCCAAATTTTGCGGCTTTGAACTGAAGTGTTTTGAAGATATTCATGTTGGCTGTGCAGTTCCTTCTAATGATTAAAATTCATGAAACTGTTGGGTCTTATGAAAACTTGTTGATAGATATCAACTCCGATGACTGAATAGCAATAGTTCAGACCTCTTATTCAGACATTAGTTTCGATTTTTTCATTTATGTTTTTTTTATTCATTTTATTCTGCTGGCTGTTGGCTTTAGGCGTTTGAAATTCATCAATATTCACTCAAGGAAGAGCATATGTTCAGTCTTGAAATGTTTAGCACCTTACGGTGTAGAGATCGGGTTCCAAAGGCCGGATCCCTTGTGAATCAAATCAAGAAAAGTATATGAATCGGCAACTGGCCATAGGCCTATTTCTTCAGTACCGACACTTATATTTTATTCTACTCTAAGCAAATTTATTAAGGGGGAGGTATACCCTAGAATTTTCAGATTTGGCATTTCTGGGTTTTAATCTCATCTTAAAGCTGAAATTCTGCTCTTTCCAATGGTATCATTGCCATCGCTGTACTCCAATATTTACGTTCGTGACGTCTCTTTAAAGGGAAGCGGGTGAGAGAGTTCTTTAAGTAATTAGATATAAAGTAATTAGCTGCTGAAATCTTCGAATATAGTTTCTACTTGAGTTGTGCTGCAGTTACATGCTTAGTCTCATCTTAAAGCTGACATTCTGAGCTTTTCAACGATACTACTGCGATAGCTGTGAGTGAATTTTAACGCACACAGCGGGGCTTTAATGGGGGCGGGGGGTGGAGTTCCTTCAGTAAATAGACCCAAGGTAATTCACTCGCTGAGACTAGAAATATTGGTGTATCTGGCATCAAGCTGCAGTCACCCTCTTCGCTTTGTGCGGAGTGGTGTTCTGCAAGTCGCTCCTAGCATCCTTGAGTGGAATTAGGCCACAGAAGCCTGTGGTTTGGTAGCTATGCTACATTTAGTGACTATTTCAAGGCGCACGGAACTTTGTCGCGCCGTCCTGAAAAGTTCAACTTTTTGTCACGGAAAACCTATCTCCTCCTAGAGTTTTGAAGCTACAGCGATGAGACATATACCATTCTATTCGTAAAGACCATACCTATGCAGTAACACGGCCCTTTTTTAGATTTGTGCATAGTTTGGATTCAAAATGGGGGCGAAGGGGGGGGGGGAAATGAGAAAAAATGAAAAAAATGGAAAAATGCTTGTAAAAAAATACTAAAGCAAAAATCAAAAATCGGGCCGTGTTACTGCATTGGTATGGTTTTTACGAATAGAATGGTATATGTCTCATCGCTGTAGCTTTAAAACCCTAGGAGGAGATAGATTTCTCCAGTACCCCTTTTTTTGTCCGTTTTCTATGAATTTCACGTTTTCTATCAATTTTTTCGAAAAATTACACAAACAAAAATGTCTTAGAATTCTGTTTTACATAAGTGTACCAAATTTCAGAGTGATCCGTCCATAAACAAAAAAGTTTTTCTGGAGGGTATACCTCCCCCTTAAAGAGATTCGGATGAGCGTTTTTTCTGTCACAACCTTCCACAGATACTATTTTCTCAAAAATCGGCTGCAATTTGAGCCATTTCTGTCGGATTACCGTCGTCCATATCCGTTATCGGACCTAAGTGCATGCTGGATGCCATTGTAACGTCATGAAGCCGGAATATAATGCAATCTGGTTACTTATAATATTTCACTGCCGAGCTACCAACACTCCTGAGCTTTCCGACAAACGTTGTTGTCTGCGCCAACACAAGCTCCGGCACTGCAACGGTTCTTCTGCAAAAATATATCAAGTTCATTCACTTATTACCTTTATTTTTATGATGTGTAAACGATTTTGTCAATTTCATATTTCGATAGGAATCTCCAGGTAAAAAAAGTTAGAATACAATACTAAATATATATGGAAATGCCTGAAATAAATTTGATAAATTTTCAACATTTATTCCTCCCAGCCAGTCCTGAGAGCAACTTACAACGATGCAGAAGACGTCGCTGCTGCGCGTGTTGCTGCTGGTCGCAGTGGCTGGTGCAGAGCCCTTGCGTACCCGAATGGTGAGGTGGTTTGTATAGCTTTTAAATCTTTGTGAATTATGATCACCTGTTAATAACAAAAATAATAATTTAAATTTGTATATTCACAGATTGAATTATTTTGTAACTAATGCTCTTACGATAATATTTGATTGTTGTTTCCCTGCAGAAAGCTCCAAATCCGGAAAATTCTGAACTGGCACGGATCGTCGAGCCTGTACCTGGGCAGGATTTTCGCGGTACCGTCCTCATTTATTGTTCATGAGTATTTATTTTGAATTATTTTTTTACTCACAAAAATATTAGCGAGGAATTTTGTAAAGTTTAAAGTACCATATTTACGTGAAATATTGGCCCGTATGCTAAATAGCTAGGCCACTAACACTACGAACTAGCACTACGCACTACAAGCCGTGGTGCCTACAGTGCGACATGGAACACTACGGTTGGCATGCTAAATAGGGCACGACGACACTACGGTATATTTAACCTTGTTTACTTCGTCAGTTGTGGATCTGTTTGGCTTACAGCAAAGGCATCATCGCGTAAAAATCTCAGGAACAGCATGCCATGAATATTAAAAAGTGTAGCGCTTCAGTGAATAACATGTTATTCTTATGGCTAACATTTTCCTTGGCGAAACAGAAGAAGAGCGTAGAAGTAGAAAATACTTTTCTTGTTTTTGATACTATGTTTTGAATTTTCTTTTTTGTTTTTTTCTAGAGTCATTTTGAATTCTTCTGCAAGAACTTTCCATGCTTCCCTCTTTTGTTCGATGTCTTTGGGAAGCGTGGACTTTGCATATATGATGGGAAAGGCGCGTAGACGCATTGCGAATTTCAGCTAACCATCAGAATTTTCACTAGTACCATTACCATCACAATTAGACATTTTACACCATCTTCTGCAAAGAATGAGAATTACTTAGGGAATAATTAATTATTTGGAGCACTTAACTACCATTCTTCAATAGACTCATAGCGTAGTGCGGCACTATAAAGTACTCTAACAGCGAAGTAGCACTTCACAGTCTTTCTGCATACGAATCAGTAGTGCGACATTAAGCGACACTAAACATTGCAGAGCTACTTCGAAGTGCTTAGTGTCTGTGACGTATTTAGCATACCAACAGGACACTTCGTAGTGCTTAGTGCTACTTCGTAGTGCTAGTGCCCTATTTAGCATACGGGCCAATATGTCATTCGTTTCTATACTATTTACTCTTAAAATAAATTTCCCATATAATAGTTATAGATCAACTAATAATAAGACCATCGAAGAGGCAAAATTAAAATGGAGAAAATTTAAATATAGAATTGCAACATTATTCGCACGAACATGAATTTGATTTGTATTTTATTTATGCAGGAGCCAGGGCTGTTTGCTTAGATGGTATCGTTGGCATGTCATGCTATACTTGGTTTGGGGTAAGTATAAACAATTGGAAAAAATTTATAAAATGTAACCTACAATAAAGTAATTCTGCTAGATAAATGTACTTAAACAGAGAAAGTATTTGTGAAAATGAACATGTATGAACCAACATCGGCTAATATTTTTATCTAGAGTATGACAAATCATTTACAAAACGTCCTTTATAATAGTGTTATTGGCGTGAAAAAAATACTTCCTTAATAATGCATGTCGTATCCCCCAATCATTTAATGAGACTGGCTAATCGTTTCTGAAGTTTGTTATGTTAATTTAGTTATAATTCAAAGCGTGATGATTAAAAATTCTCTCATTAATATGGTCAACCTTTTAGATCTCGCTACGTGAATAAATTCAGCTCTAATTAATCGATGAATAATTTGTATTCTTTAGAATCAACTTTATATGATATATTAAAATACCTTTTTATCATTTCAGAATGGTTATTGGGACAAGTCTTGCCCGTTCCCTGGCTGGATTTGGGTGTGGGTAAACCCCTTCACTAATTGGTACGGAATATACTGCTGCACCACAGCCCCGTGATTAAATTAACTGATATAAATCGTCTGATTTTTTCCGGACGAAAGCAGTTTCTACGACGCACGTGCCCAGTCGTTAAAGTTACATGATACATTTATCAGTCAAAAATTATAAAATTGGTGATGTCATACAACGATGGGTTTCAATTCCAGGATATTCAACTCTAGTTATTACTTTCAATTGATTCTATTTATGATTTCATGCGCATTGATGCTGAAGGCTAAAAATTGAAATTTGTTGATTAAAAACTTGAATAAATTTATAATGATTTTTACAACTAGTTTAGTTTTTTTTTTATTTTTCGGCACACAACAGCATTATATTTTTAATGAGCTATAATAACAATTTAATTACACACGGGATTTCAAGTAGTCTCTGAATCACATCTCCAAGCAGCTGAGTATAAAAAATATGTTGAAAAAAAACATCCATTGGAAAAAAGAGATGAAGTCACTGTAGCCAGGATGAACTGATCCTGCACGACCTGAATCATTTGAACGACCTGCAGAAAAGTTAGCACGATACAATAGCGGCACGATGAAATACAAATCAAACAATAAAAAAATGTATTCCTATTTGCTTCCTGTGACGGAAATCATAGAGGAGTTCTCAGCAACAACGCTTAAAATGAGAACCATCATTATAAAAAAACATCAATTGATGTGTTCGCTCTTATCTAAGATTAGTATAGGTTGGCAGAATTTCTTCTTTCAAGCAGGTTTCATTGAAGACCAGAGAATTTGTTTTATTCGCAATTTTCTTATTAGTTTTTTCAATATATCGAACAATATTTTTAGTTTGAACTGGCAAATCGAAAATCAGGTTACCGATGGACATTTTTATTTCGTTAACGACGTTTCGAATGTTTCTATCATTCATTATCAAGTTAAAAGGCGCATTGAGTGATGAAATTAGCGTCAACATAAGTACAAAATCAAGTAAATAGGATACTACTCAAAAATCAAAATTGTTAGGAATAATTACAAAATCACAAAATAATTTAGAATCAAAGCACCGAAAATTACTCCGAAAACCATAAATTTAGTCTTATCTAAGACTAAAGATATGGCATGCAAGCACGCAGAATCACAGCCTGGAGATAAGAATCCATGTATAAATCAATCTCAAGTTTGGCTAACGTACAAATGACCGGCAAAGCTAAACCCAACTGGCTAAAATACCCGACATAAAGCCAAGACAGTCGTGAATAGAAGACTGAAGAAGTGAGTACAAACATGCAATAATAAACTATACAAAAGGAAAACTAATTTGAACTAACACAGTATACGGAGAAGAAAAGTCAGATTAATCGGACTTAGAACATGGTTATGGAAAGATGTTTACCCATGGAAAGCTTAATATAATTCTGCTTTTAGTAAGCAAACTATCAAGCATCTCGTATACTACCAAAAAAATGTAGAGAAGCGTTAGTACATTCATTGATTAGAAAGAATTTGTAACATCTTCACTTGCTTTACTTCAAAATGTAGGGTCATGTGATGTAGAGTTCTTTTTAGCGCATTTTCTCATTTATGGAAAAATGCACTATTGTGCTCGCCATGTCCGTCTGTCTGTCTGTCTGTCCGTCCGTCCGTCTGTCCGTCAAATAACAAAAACATGCGTTGCCATAAATATGGCAGACCCGTATATGTATACGTTTATTTGTTTACACAGACTGTGTGACGTTTATTTGTATACTCAGGCTGTTTGACGTTCATTTGTATACTCAGGCTGTGTGATTTATATTTGTTTACTCAGGCTGTGTGACATTTTTGTATACTCAGGCTGTGCGACTTTTATTTGTATGCACAGGATGTGTGAAGTTTATTTGTATACACTGGCTGTGTGACATTTTTGAGAGACTAAAAAATGATTCGTGTGAACGACGCCGCGTTGAAGCCTCACGTGCCCAATACTTATAGACTTATAGACCTTAGTTTCTCAATGGAAATCATGGGGTTGGTAGCTATTATACCTGTAGACTAATAGAGCTTTGTTTCCAATGGAATTCATGGGGTTGGTACCTATTATTCCTGTAGACTAATAGAGCTTTGTTTCCAATGGAATTCATNTATTTTCCTTCCGTCTGAATGTTTGATGCAGTTCACGGAACATTATCTCTTAGGAAAATTAATTGGTTTTATTATTCAAACATGAAATTTTTTACACTGTTGAGCCAATTTGCTGGGCAAACTGAGTCAGGATGACCCACTCAAGAGCTAAGTATTGATAGACAAAGTATCGCTCCTGCCTATACGAGGAGAGCCCTGGCACCGTGCGTCCAGGATGCAGCGACATCGATTTTTGTGATGCGCTATATATTATATATGCGCTATATTTTGTGATATTGTGCTTAGATAAATATATTCAATATTGAAGAGCTGTATATATTGTACTTAGAAATATATATAATATTATAGGGCTGTAAATATTGTACTTAGATAAATATATTTAATATTGAAGAGCTGTAAATATTGTACTTAGGCCTGTCGCTTTCAGGTCAACTTTTCAGTGCAGTTAGCGTGAGTCTGGAACTTGCGGCACAACTATAGGACTTGGACAAGAATTGTCTTGGGACTTGACTTTAGGCTGTCTTGGGGACTTGCAATGGAGTTGATCATTTATCGCGGTGATCATTAGTGCAACAATTAACGTTTCTTGAAAATCTTTACACCTCAAGAGGTCTTTTGACGTATGTTAATACCCGTCACGAGTGAAGAGCTTTAGGGAAGGTTGAAGACACAAGTTCTTTCTCTACACGGGAACCAAAAAGGCAGTGATTAAATGTATACCTATCTAGCTGCGTCAATTGTCGTATACCAAGTCGTATACTGCGTCAATTGAAAAGTCAATTGTCGATTACTTTCATATGAAAAACTGAATACGTTGGACTAAGTGGTAACCGTGCCCGAAATAGTACAAATTTAGTGGTCTTTTTATGCAGCTCAAAGCCTCGCACTGTTGTAGTCAGTCTCGGGATTGTCGGCAATCCGGATTCCTGACTGCCACGCTGCTCGGGAGGTGGAACTGAGTTCCATCTGAACTCCAAAAAGTTGGTTGCGTGCAGCGGTTCCTTGCCACCCATTAGAGTGGCCACCATGTGAAATTGTATCTTGAATATGCTTTGCTGCGTGCTTTTATAGGCAAGCTTTTATCTCCTGTCGGCAGGCTTGTCTCATGCGACTGGAAACCAATTATATCTTGGCCCAAACAGGCAGTCGTGAGAGTCTGGGTATCGCAGTGCGAAGTCTGAATTCCCTGAGACCAGCAGATCGCTGTAAAATCTGATCTCGCGTGTTGGTTCAGTCGTCCCCAAGACTTGCTCCCGTTATCACTTCAACGACACATTTGTGGCTGACACGCCCAGGCCTCTAGGATATTGTTCTTGAGGCAAGGGAGGCTCTCAGGTGGCCGGCGAATAGCCAGCGGGCGTCAGGCGCCTGCTTGCTCTGGCCGACCAATGGCCACTCACGGTCCGGGGAGGAGGGAGATGCTGGTGGGGCTCTTGACAGCCACGGGCGAGTAATTTATGAAGTTTGTTTTTACCTCCTAATTTGTCCTAAACCATTGGGAATGCTTTGACTCCTCCAATGTAGGGTACCAGAAGTAGAAATTGAGCGTTAATCTACGGAATTTCATAATTCTCTTGGTATAATGACTTATATCTACTTCCAGGAATCTAATTTACAAGCGAATGGTGTACCGCTCAAGGAAGAATAAATAGTTAAACCTATGTACAACGAGAAAATGGTAGAAAATTCACTCGCTTCACGAACAACGGGGTGCAAATTTTTCCTATTCCTAATGACAGTTGAAAGACAAAATTTGCAAAATTCATCGTATCGTACGTGAATAAAGATAAATAGCTGGAATAGCATACCAAATTTGAGACTTGTATCTTATATAGGACGGATGTTATAGTTCAAGGAAATAGTTAATAAACCTCACAGGACTGGACGCGGCTGACGGGATACCTCAGCCTCTTAAAGTTATAGCTGTAGCCTGCAGGTATGAGGTAAGATTACGGTTAGAACTCGGTTGTGACGTTCTTTCATCTCCAAAGTATCTTGAATTGAAGTGTGATCTTTTGTTTATAAGCAGGTTTCGCTTTTAATATATGTGTGAGTTTTAAAAAAATTTAAATTACGTTCGCGATTTGCATCGTAGATTTGCCATACTTTATATATAATTTTTTCACATATCCTACCTCTGCTGTAATTGGCGATTTGTAAATTTTTTAAGCTTGTGTACCTTCCAGATAAGTTCCAACTCCATCGGTTTCTGATGTCTCCCTCGAATAACAGCTTTGTTTTCAATAAAATATTCTCATTTGATTGCTGATTTAAGTCGAGTATATCAACTTTATTGTTTTTGCTGCTTTCTCTCAAGCGATGCTGTTTCTACGATGGGGAATTTTGCTTTTCGCAGGAGTCAAGTTTCCTTTGAGCTTCTCTTCCTGGCAACATGAGCTTTGTGCTTACGCAATGCGTTTGTATTGCGATGTTAGCCTTCACCACGTACGACGTGAATGATGTTGTCGGACTCTGATGCTTGAGTTTTTCTGGTGGATTAATTGACATATAATAATAATAATAATAGCGGTTTCAGCGTTTAGTAGGCCGGAGGCCTGTCGCCGATTCTTAACATCGCAGAACATTCANCAATTGCCGTAGCAAATATATGTGATTAGGGTGTTGAAAAAATATATTCGTTAAATTGCCGTAGCAAATATATGTGATTAAGGCTAAAAAAATATTTTCGTTAAATTGCCATAGCAAAAATTTTTTAATTAATTGTCATAATAAATATTACGCAGTCAGTTGCCGCACCAAACATTTTTTGTAATTACAAATATTTTTTAATTAACTGCCGTGAAAAATATTACGTCATAAATTGCCGTAGCAAATATTTCTTAATAAATTGCCCTGACAAATATATTCTTATCAATTGCCGTAAAAAGTATTTTTATTTAATTGCCGTAGCAAATATTTAGTTACCAATTGCCGAAGGAAATATTTCGTAGTTATTTGTTGCATCAAATATTTCGTAATTAGAAGCGGAAAAATATTTTTAAATGAATGCCGTAGCAAATATTTATTAAATTATTGCCGTAGTATCAAAGTTACCGCCTCAACATAGCAACGAAAAATTTAACATAATAAATGAAATGAGCAATTACTCTAATACATAATTTTTTAAATGCAATTACTCATTATGTGAAACTTATTAGAGAGTTAACGATAACCCTACACTGTGAATATTAAAAATGT